AGACTTCTTTCTCCATCAGAAGATGGCAAGTGCTAGCAGCTGTGAAACTATGTATGAATTTTGGGCAGTAAATGAGGTATGAAAGCCTTCCTGTGCTTCATAAGCAATAGACACCATTTCCTTGGTAAAAAGTACTTTTCATTTTTTTGGGGGGGGGAATAAAGTTCCCATAGATAATAAGACTTCTAAAGCAATGTTTTGATAATCTTGATAAGCAGAAGTATATAAGGAAATGTGAAAAGAAGTATATGACTGAATGACAAGTTAATTTATATGAAAAAGTAAAAAAAAAAAAAAAAAAAAAAGTCTTCTGAAAGTTAAAGATCTGAATGAATGTCGATTGATTTATTGTGTAAGTATTGCAAAATTAGTGCAGCTTTTCAGCATCATAAGATGCCTGAGCTGTAGTGTTGAGAATTAAATATTCACTGTCATACTGCTTGGCAACTCTGCCCATAGCAGCTGGATTTGAACTAGATGATCTTTAAGGTCCCTTCCAACCCAATCCATTATGTGATTTTTATGCAGACACACTCAGCTGCTAAGCACAACACAGTTCACCAAATCAGAGAATCAAGTCTCATCATTAAATCATGTCCCTCAGTGCCATACCCTTGTCTCTTAAACGCAAGCAGGGATTGGGGCTCCACCAATATTTGCCTAAAGCCTCTTTAAAGGGAAACACTGCATGATATTCCACTATGAACACTCCCGTAAGAGGACTGACAGCTTAGATTCATGAAGACTTTAAGAGCCTGCTGCAGTTTTTCCCCATTTTTCTTTCCTCTCTGACAAGTCCTTACTTTTCCAGGTGTGTCTCAATCTTCATTAAATCTCCCTACACGCATACTTTTAACATTAGATTATCAGTATTTATTCAGAAGGGGATTATTAGAAAATCCCCCAAATATCTGCACTGTTTAGATGCTAATCCACTATCTGATTATGAAATTTATTTTGTGTCTGAAGTGTACTACTTTCTTAATTTACAGTGTGAATTGAATGCTTTGGGATGAGATGTGTCTGCAACTATTAAGTATGCATCATGATTGTACTTAAGCAGCAAAACAAATGATCCTTAAAATAAACTGTCTCTAAATCATGAACATCCCTTTGACAGCCAGTATTGAATCCAACCTTTGTCCTCTTTAAACTGTTGCTTTTGATGAAGGCTGCCTTCATTTCATTCTCTGCTGCTCAACAGTGCTGCCATTTAAAATGAAAGAGCAAAGGAGTACACATGAAATAAATTAAGTATTAACTGAAAGTTTTCTTCTGCAGTTTTCTACTGACCAAAATGATCAGAAAATCCAAAAATATTCTAGTCCCAAAGTGGAACAGATTCTGATGACTGCTCTGAAAGATATAATCTACTTTTTAAATTACTATGTCCTTTTGTTTTTATTTGATTTGCAAACCAAAACCCTCTTAACACTTCAGCCTACTCTGAGTTTGCTTTGGCAAAATATCTTTTATTCCTACTGGATGCAATGTCTATAACCACTGTCAATATTTTAACAGATTTTAGTATTTATAAGCTACTGGCAGTTGATTTAATTATTGGAAGATGATAGTGTCATGGCTAGGAAATTATATATATATATATATAATCATCAGATAGAGACAAATTGGTTTTCATTTGTATCCAGGCTTAAAAGCTGTGGTTATAAATGTCAGCAATTAAGTTTAAGAAATAGAAATAGTGCATTTTCAAGGAAAACCCTGATTAACAATGCACTTAAATGATTAGCTTTCATCTTCAGTGCAACAAAATCTGCCTGAGGTGCTTTGTCAAGGAACCCTCTTATGCATACAGGGTGTCCATGAAGGTAAGAAGTCATTCCTCAGGCAAAGTCATCCCAGATAAAATTCCATTAATTTGAGAAGAATTTTAGTAATTATTTATTATATATTTGAATTAAAAGATTCAGCATGGAATTTACTATGGAATATTCTCCTATATTGTCCAGAAATAGGTAATAAATTTTGGAACGTAGAGGAAACGCCATTATAAGTGCAGGATATACTATGACAGTTAATATATAAGGTTTACACACATCAGAAAATGAAATACTTTCTGAAGTAATTTCCCAAATGCATACGATAATTTCTGAAAACTTTCCATTTTATTCAATAACTCAATTTTAATGACTCACATAGTAGTAGAAATAAACATCAGCAAAGAATAGCTTTTTTTTAAAAAAAAAAGATACTTAATCTCAGCATCTTATTTTTGGGGACAGCTGGGACAGCAAGCACCACATTAAAGGGACTCAGTTTATAGCATGAGTTGAGAACACACTGTGCAATTCCAGTTACACATGGTAGATGGTGCATGAAATTCAATCACAAGTTAGTTCAGGTACACCAAGTAGTAGTGTAGTAATTATAACTTCAGAAAGGAAAATCTTTTATTTGGTTATCTTGATGAATTATTCTTCAAACTAAAAGTAATTTTGGGAAAAAATAAAAAAAATAAAAAAATTCACCCAACCTGATCATGACTGTTGGTTGGAGATAAAGTGATTACTAATTCAAAATAGCAAATGAAAGTAGAGACTAAAGATTTCTGAAACAACAGATTACTTCTTACACTTACAAGACCTTTCATATTGCTTAGAAAGAATGAATCATACTGTCTTAAATCATGTGTAAATGGGCATGTAATGAGTTATGAGTGGAGTGGGCAACATCTTATGTTGGTGGCTGGTATGTATAATTTGAATGAGAAATTATAAAATTCATATTTTTCTAATTTAAGAATTGTAGTCAGAGACATCTGTGGGCTTTTGTTTTATTTAATGTCTTTTCTCTCTGTTGAACCTTGTAATGAGCACTTTCTCACATAGATATCTTAAGAAGTTTGGAATTTTTAACATCAACCAGAAGTCATTCATTCTTTTTTCCTATATTTTTCTGAAGCAGTAAGTATTCTCAGTTAGTAATTCTTATTACGTCTATTTTACCATTAGTTTCTTTTTAAATATTTCATGGTTAGAGATCCAAGCAGCAACTTTACTAATTTCTCTGAGTGAGAATACATGTTACGCTAGCTTTTTAATTTAATACCTTCAAATTAAGAGAAGATATAGATTGGTTTTATCCATCTGGAAAACCTACACTCAAAACTTCTAAAGCAGATATTCTCTATCTTGTTTTTGTCCTTTAGTCTTAAATACTTAGCCTGAACATTCAGCTAGTTTGTACTGAAAAAATGCTAAGTAAAATGCTCTTCACTTTTCTCTATGTGAAAAAGAATATGAACTGGCAACACACTGTTAGGTAGCACAAAGGAATATTACCTTTTCTAGTTTTTAGGTTTCTTTTTCATCCCCTTATGGGCTATTTTGGCAGAAGTTTTTGCATATATGTACTTTCATACGTATTTTCAAGTACACCATGCTCTTCTGTCTATGACATAGATAGGACCACTCAGCAGAATATACTGTAGTATTTTGCTAAAAAATCCAATAAAAGTTTATTATAACTTGCAGATCTAATTCAGTATTCTACCAGAGAGCTAGGACTTGCCCATTTGCATTTGCTTTTCATTTGAAGAAGCTTGATGTTCAAGCTTGTTGAACCTTGATGAACAAGGTTTTAGTGGGCAAACAACACTGTAAATGAAAGTCTCATAAAACATTCACATTAAAAAATATTATATTGGATTATTTTTCATATTGATTGTGTATTTCAATGAAAACTAGTATTTTATACCTTTTCATGAACCTTTTGCCCTGGCTCCATTCCTTCAATATGCTCTGATTCAGCAGGCCCTTCACCAGCTGCAATTTTCCTTTGAATGTGTGCATTTTGTTCACGCAAAGCTACAATCTGCAAGAGACAGAAAGTAAATGGTCAATATGTATAAAAAAACCAAAAATCACTGAGCAGGCAATCTGTTGACATCTGTTGACATCTGCAGACAATCTAGTGACATTATGATCCAAACTGGCCGTTCGTAGCAGCTGAAGTATTAGGTCGACACATTCAGGGAAATTTAAAAAATGATTAAGGACCATTACGGATACAAAGGAACCAATAAATGACTGGAGATTCAGTGTTAAGTCTTGTTTTATCTTCTATATTTACTATGTACTAATTTATTTTTTTAATTTCCACCTTGAAACATGGAAGAACTCTTGGTTAGAAATTAGGAAATTGATAACTGCAAGCGTAAGATTAATCCTTTTGTACTGAACACGATTGACAACAACATGGCATTGTAGGAGCACAGGGACAAGAAATATGAATCAAACACAAGTGATGTAAAATTGAGTGTTAGTCTTCTCAACTTTCCACCAGTTAGTAACTGCAACATGCATTTTAAGCACTATTCGATAAGAAAAACATGTAAATAAAGTCTTATAATACATTTGCAAGTTGTTTTTTATGTTAAATATGTTGCTTTATTTATTGATAGTGGTATCAAAAATTTGACTCACTGGAAAATAAGCTGACTTCTCTCTGTACTGTTCTGTTTCTGAATGGATAACATAAAACTCAGTAGTACTGCTTCTGAGAAAAGTGAGCATACCTAGTCCTTATATTTATGCTTTTATGTTTACAATATCCAACTTAACCTCTCAATTACAGAACATGCCCACAGACAGTTTTCCAGGTACCTATGAATTAATACTTATTTACTTATACTAATACTTATGCTTATAAGGCAGTAATTCTTGATGTAATTTTTGGTGGATTTCATGCTAACTTTTCTTTTGGAAAAAGATAATGGTAATATTCTAGAGGATGGAGTTATATTTGCTAAAATTAAATAAAAGACAGTTAAAAAATAAAGGTGCATAAATACCTCTGTTGTGCAATTATTCAGAACTATATTATCAACCTTGGATTTAAGTCCGAGTAATACCTCTTAAAATATGAACAGACATATGACATTTTTTGTCCTCAAATCATTAGATTTGTTTTCTAAATCACCAGTTAGGGACCAGATAAAACAGAGCCCTTGCTGTTAGGCTGTAAGTGTTCTGACATCCTTAGGGAGAAGTGGTATCATGTTCTGTATATTATATACAGGGTACTTTTCCTACCCATAACAATTTTTGCTTGAGATGCTGACCTGTGACCCCAGTACAGAGCTAAGCTTAACCCTTCAGCATTCGCTATTATCCATTGACTTAAGGCACAATTACAATAGCTGAGCTGAAAATCTTGAACTTATCTGTCTTGCATAGACCAGGATAATGGAAAAGCCAATGTGCTGAATGCTGATATTAAAGTGGTTATCTGATCTCTTCTGTAAAAACTGGAGGGAAACACCACCAGCAGGGCCTTCTATGTCCAAAAGAGATTGGATAAACGACATGCATATCTTTTCTCCTGACTGCCAGTAAAAACCAATGATTATCTTAAATTAGATGCTTCCATTATGATGGTTAAATGTTAGAAAAAGTAATTCCATCAAAGGACTGAAGAAATTCCAGAAAAAAATCATATTATGGAATAAAGACCATGCCTGTACATACGAACCTGGTCCTTCTCACTCCTCATATGCAGTGAGGAAAATTATTTCAGTTAACTCATCAATGCATATTTTCCCTCTTGCAGTGTGTATAACACTACAGATGAACACATAAATTTATGTTTTCAAATACATATGGCCCGTACATAAGCTAAATAAAGTCCTATTGTAATTTTTTAAACAGTTGCACAATCAATTTCTATGTTGCCTTTTTTTTTTCCCATGTTTTTGCAATTTAAACTGTATTTAAAGCCATCTGCCAGTGAAGGATTGAAAGACAACTGCTGTAATCATCTTGCTTTAAATTTGCTTTCCATTGAACAGATGCCTACAGCATGAAGAGAAATAAATATATTTAGATTAACTAATAATCACATAAGGCTAAAACATCAAAGGCATTTCTGTTTGTAGGATTCTTTATCATATTTAAAATAAGAAATACTTTTGAATTAATTGATTTTTCTCCTTTGAATTTATTTAATTTATCGTTCACTTTTCTAGCATTACAACTTGTTAAATATAATTTTTGTGGATAAGGATAAAAGAGGCTCTAAACACATGTATATAGTGTTAGACAGTTACGTACAACAAGTAAGAATTTAGATCACTTAAAGAATGTAAGCATTAAAGGAAGACAATTATTTTAAGTTGTTGGGTTTTTTTACCATAAACTACTGAACTTGTTCCTTTGATCTTTCAACACTGAATAAATTTGTTCTAACCAATGAAACTTGCTGACACCTATTTCTTTTAATTTGCTATATTTGACAGATCTAAAAGGGTAAAAGACTTTTTTTTTTTTTTAATTTAATTTAGTGCAATCAAAAAGGTGTTTATTTTTGCATGGATGGTATGCCAAACTACTTGTGACTATATTGTACACTTAAGTCTTTCAGACAATAGGGAAATTCCCTACTTGGATGTCTTCTTACATTATTATAACAGCCTACATTTTAAAAATGTATCATATTTCAGTTTACTGAGAGCGTAATTCAGATTTCCAGTCCATCTTCTGACTTTGCTTCAATTTTGGCAAGGATAAACCTTGTTTGAAGGTTTAATAAATGGTAATTTTATATGGATTACCATAATTGAGTGCAGCACACGGAATAAAGGATGCTTAGAGACCAGTGTGGTTTGCTTCTCCCTAAATGGAAATTTAAATCCTGATTCATACATATAAATGCACTCTTTTCAAGTTATGTTTCTAGTTTGTGTTAATCAGAACACAACCTTTCAGAAGCCACTGCTTAGACAGTTCAGAGACATTTAAATGAGGTTAACTGATTTAAATTATTTAATTGTACCATGATGTAATAATGACAGAATTTGTCATTATTACAGTTTTTTTAAAAAATTAATAGAGCTGAAAATGCATGCACATTTTCTTGGAATTTTATATATAACTTCTGAAAAGAATTATAATGATAATCAGCCTTTTGTATCATCAAGGTCTTGTAGTAACAATATGCTCTATTTCTTTCACTTTTTTTGGTGGAGGAAAAGCACAGCATGGAATGCACACCTGCAAAATCTTTTTATTGAAAAACAAATTGATCCTTTTGTGAATCATAATAAAAACTAGGCATTTTGAAAATTTTCACTGGGGGGGAAAAGGCATTTAAAAACTAAATAGAGACAATTTATGTGTTC